CGGCAGCTTGGCAGCAGGGCCCTGGAACTTCAGCAAGCAGCGGTGTGGAAGCAGGGCAGGGAGCAGGTCTGTTGCGGAGGACTTTCGTTTCCATTCCAAGTGGGAAAAAACTCCCAGTCGCCCCTGGAGCTGGTGTTTTCCATCTCTTTACTCAGAACTGCGGGAGTTCTCTACCTTGAGGTGAAAGCAAATCCGCTGCAATCGGTGGTATCCCACAGTAAATCACGGATGTATGAATAAGCAACAGGTTTTATAGATCTATAAATATGCTCAGCACTTGTTGGTGTTTTATGTTTCGAAGGCAGGACAGTGCGTGGCAAAGTGAATGTAGGCATCACAGGCAGTGTTTGGTATGCATGCCTTTATGTTTGCACTTCGCAGTGTGAACGGTCAATTTACAGTTTCAGCCATTCATTTGGTTTTAGCAATATGAGACCTCACTCAAGTAATCTGCTATTAAATCTTCACTGAGTGAAGGAATGATAGAGGCCGGAGGCTTCTGCATTTGAGTTAGGACCGTGAGGTTTCATGACATGCGAATTAGCAAGCCTGAGCTATGTTTGCTTTTCTAAAGAATGAGGCAGTCTTTCCACTGAACATTTACTTTCAAGTGAATGCTTTTTATTTATTGTCTCAAGTGTCATCATTCCTTATGACTTCAGTATTTCCCAAAGCTCATGGATGGAGTGTTAGGTCATTTATCTCCTTCAGATTTTTTTCTTTTTTTTAATGATCTGGGTTATACATTTAGACCACAGCCTTGGTATCCATAAATCAGACTGAAATGACTTTTGCACCAACGTTTACATGCTCAGAATCCCAAATGTACATAATTTTTGGTTTGCTTTTCTTTTAGTGCCAGACAGTCATCTCGTAGCTAAGGCTAAAGTTTTCTGGGGACTGATGGAAGAACGTATTTTCCGAGAAAGCAGATTTTAGTTCTCTTTCTGATGCTTCTAAGTCTAACAGAAACGAAACACGTGCCAAGAAGCTTACACACTGATTCCACAGGCTGGCTGGGAGGGGTCCTCTAGGCTGACGTAAGCACTGAGGCAGAGAGCAACTCTCCTATTGCAAGAAAGGCATGTGAAAAAAAAATGCTAAAAAGAACTCAGAATAGGCTGCGTTCTCAACATTAGCAGACTCAGCTTGTTATTTCACAAACTTGTGTCACACAAGAAATCTCACCCTGGGATATTCCCCCACCAATAGATAGGTGTGCATGTGGAACGCAAGTAAAATGGCCTTATTTCTGTAAAGTAAAGCGAAAATAGCCTAGCCAAATCGCACATGTAGGCATCGCTAACCTAGGGCTGTGCCTAGCACCTTGCTTGCCTGTAGTTGTCCTTAATTCTGAACACTTCTGGAGTCGAGGGACATGGGTGGCAGGAGGGCTAGTAAGAGACTATTCTTGCAGTTAAGTAAAATAGTGCAAATAATGCTTAATCTAGCCTTTACCAAACAAAATGGGTTTAAAAATAAACTCTCATGTCTCCTACGCTGAAAAGAACAAAGTACCTGTAGTAGAAGTTAACATATGCATGAATACCGGTACTGGGATGTTAATTCTGGAATGTTTCTCCCCCCTGAAGTTTTCCATATCCCTCTCTGCTGCCAAAAAAGTCGACGTGACTATAGGAAAAGGTGTACCTTTGGTGTTAGTATCACTTGTGCTCTTTGGGGAGTCCCAGCAAAGTGCTGTGCCAGAGTATATGTCAAATTGTTCCTTTTACTGCTGAGTTTGAGTTACTGTTGAGTGACATTTACACAGATTAATTCGGGAGTAGTTCATCTTTGCATTTGCATTGGAGGGCCACCACAGCCTAATCCCTGTGGTGGAAGTTTAGGGACTCCATCACCTGTTGAAGCACAGCTTTCTGACTGGGAGCAGAGCTGAACAATGCATCCTTACTGTGCAGAAGCGTAGTCCCCAGTAGCAGCTCGCCTATTTCCACCTTCCAGCAGTCCCTGGGAAAAGCTTCCCTCCCACAGTTAAAAAATACAAACAAAACAGGAGGTCAGAATAATTTGCTTGCATGTTTTTAATCTGCTCACTTTTTCTTCTTTTTTTAGCCTTTTTTAAACTTCACCAGGTCACCTTTCTGAACATCCCCCAGTCCCAGTGATCGAGATGGGACTAAAAACTTGCTGGGTTTGGAGATAAAAGCTAAGATTCTCACTAAGTGGAATGACAGGCAACCAAGATTGAGAGATATGTATCAGGGTCATAAAAGTTGCTGGGCGTGAGTTCAGAAAAGCTGTTTTCACAGAAAGGTGTCATGCCAGGAGAAACACAAGTGGTTGGACGTGACTTTTACTTTGTTTCCTTAGGCTTTTTGTTTCTGGAAAAATGTTGAAGTATAAATGTCACAGAAGGAAGTAATAAATGACAGCGTTTCTCCTCACATCTGTTCTGTGCTGATCACTTTTTCAGTTTTACCACCTTTCAACCAAGTCAGACTCTCTCTCTCACCCTCGCTCTGCCACTTCCTTGTGGCGTCGTGGAGGCAAGACTTTGATGCAAATGCTGTCCTCGACAGAGATGCTGCTGTAGATGGGGCAGGGTAATGAACTAGCTGCAGTCGAGTGCTCCCCTAGGGCTACCAGAAAGCAGCTAGTCAGTAATTCGTGGCTCCCAGGGAGGCCTTCCATGAGATCGGATGTATCCAAGTCCCAGCGCAGTCCTCTGCGCTGTGATGGGCTTCCTTCCCTGCCAGCCTCCACACAGCTGCAGGGAAGCCACCTCAAACACAGGATTACAGACACAGCGAATTCAGACATAGCAAATTACAACAGTCAACAATTTCAGGCAGGGGCTTTTGTTTCATAGTAGCAGAGAAAAGCCCTCTATGGCATGTTATATACTCTTTAGTGACCAAGTAAAGATTCAAGTCGGATCCTGTGTGTTCTGTCACCTGTCCTCCGTGTGCTGCTTTCCTGGCTGCTGAAGCACCCATGCCCTGTTAGATACAAGCAGCAATTAATGATGGTCTACAGGACAGAGAGAAAGCAGAGATAGGCTGCTGCTACTCAGACGAGCTCCTCAGGAGGAAGTTCAGCAAGATGCAGGCACTGTTTGCTGCGAGGTCCTCTGGAGCAGCCTGTGCAGGCAGATGATGTCGGTAATCTGATGTGGGGGAAACGCTGTTCTGCTGCGCTGACTGCTTGGCAGCTGGTGCGCAGACTGGGCCTTCTTCCTCCCGCCTGCCCAGTGGTGTGGACTCAGATGACCCATTGCTGAATCAATGACTCAGTGGCTCATAGCTGGCAACACTTACCGAGCGATAGAACAGCAAAGGATGATGCAACTTAAAGTAAAAAGCTGAAGAGAAATGCAGCTTGTTTTCGCAGAAAAAAATAGAGCTTTCGTTGAGGTGGTTTGGGGCGTCCCTCAAAAGATAACTGCTTTCTAGAGCCAGATGGCGGGAAGGGAAAGGACCTGATTCTTTGAATGAATTGAAAGAAGCTGTTGAGTTTGAATTGGCAGCGTATGTCAAGGAATGAAACACGCTGGATAATTGTGGACTTATGTTGCTCCATGATGGAGTTTGCAGGACTGCCTGTAAGAGCAGTCAGGATCTTGACAGGCAAAGAGGGAAGGTTTCTTAGCCGAGAGGACTTAACAGGGCCTCTCTCTGGAGGCCTTTAAAGGGCACCTCTCCCATTTGGCAGTACAGAGGAAATTAGGCACTTACTTTAGGAGGACAGTTTCAGAGTCACCTATAATTTAGATTCCATTCAGGTACTTAAGCTAGGAATACTGTATCACAGTCAAAACTCTTTCTTAGTTGGTTTAAATGGATGGAAGTTACAAAGGCATTAGGGCCCAGCCTGCAGAACATTGTTTTGTGTGCATAACCTTTGCTGACCTGTGATCATCTTAGACTCCTCTCTTTGTTCCTCTTCCTCATTTTCATCACCCGGGGATGGAGGTTGAAGACTGGAGATTACAGATTCACAGTCTTAACGGTTGGCTAGTTACTTTTCTGCGTTATTATCTTGGACTTGGAGGATGAGAGGGTGATTTTTTTCTTTGCAGTTACTGTCCTGCAGTGCTCACCACTTCTGGCTGGAGTTGTGGACCGCACATGTAACTGTTTGCTCCAAATAATTCCAGGATGCACACATTGCTGCTGCTGTTAAATATTGATAGAATTAAATTTGTCACTGGAGCAGAAGTGTTAAAACTTTTCTAAGCAGGGGCTTTGTTTTCGGTGTGCTGTTACAAAGTATGGTATACATTTACATGGTATGTAAATAGAAGATGAATAGGGATAACTACAATCACAACAAATAATGGCACTCATCCAGCATGGAATTACATTTTGTTACTGACTCAGTGCTGTGTTGGTGAAATAATCTCTACTAACATTTTTCTAGGAGCCTTCTGTTTAAAACCAAAGGGCTTTGCTTTTTCAACCTACTCTCTAAAGATGTCCACTGAATAGTATTGCTAAAGAGTATAATGGTCTCTTCATACCGGTCAGAGAGTGATAACTGCTTCGCTTCTTCTGTCAACCTGTGACTTAGAAAACCTGTGACAAATTGGAATTTACGAATGCGTATTTGTCTCCCCTGAGGTGTGGAAAATGTTTAATGGGGCACTCAGGCAGCTATCAAAACAGGGTGTCTTACATTAAATGTTAATTTCTTCCTGCAAAATTCAAGAGGAGAAAAGAGTTTGGTGTGGGCAAAACGTTTCATAAATTTTCCAAAATATGTCCCTTCTGCCTCCCCTCTGACAACCCGCCAGTGAAAGCAATTCCAGCCTTGGAGAAAAAAGATACAGCAGTGTTACAAATCCTCACAAGGACACAGCAGGTCCCACTCGTGGCCTCTAAAAGCGCCATGTGATGACTTGCTCTGCAACCCCTTCACTTCTTAGGTGCCTTGTTTTCCTGGCAACATCAGTCTCTTGAGGAGCTGGGTTGTGACTGTCTCCCACTACAACCAG